ACACACACACACACACAGCTAAACACCGAGCACTGAGCTGATCTAATCTGAGCCAAACCAGTCTGCTCCCTCCAGCCACAATCCTATTATAACCACCTCCTAATGTGAGGCTTCACACACGCACAAACAAATTTGGGCAGCTATCCTTCTTAGGACATCACCTCATCAAACTTTAAAGGGATAGTTCACCAAAAAATGATTGATATTGATAAATTGGGACTGCACTCCAAACAGGAACAGAAATCATACTTTAAATCAAAGCCTACGTCACATTTGAATAATGAAGGTTACAAAGTTGGACTGTTCCAGATCAAAACTTAAAAGCTGACCCTGTGAATCAAAGATATGTTTTGTGTAGCTGATATGGAAATGGGGAGCTACTGACTGACGTGTGCTGACCAGTGCATTACCTTTGTCCTCACCATTTAATTTGCCCAGTCGATGGACGAGGCAGTGGGATTCATCGAGATCGTTTAACACTCCCTAACCACTTAAAATTTGTTTCACCTTATCTTTAACCTAAACCTTGCAACGAACCCAAAAATCTGCTTTTTATCCAAGTGAGGATACACGTTGGCATAATTCATTCCCTAGCCCCTTCCTGAAACTTCAACCATCACCATCAATTAAATGCCTAACCCGAACCTAATTCCCCAAATGTCTTCACTCTGTAGGTTGTAGACGCACTCGGCCATATACAATAATGTGACCTGTGGATGCTTCTTACTCACCTGAGAACATCATTGTTGGCAACAGGACGTAACTACCTTCATTTAGCTTCACACGGCGTCGCCTATAATTAATAACACTGACGAACAGGAAACCCTGTCTTGCCCTGCGTGGCCCTGGAGGTGCAACCAGACTGATGTCTGTGTCAAATGACCTGACATACTTAATGAGATGAGAAAAGGCTAATCTGATTCTATATCAGACAGCCTCTCGGGGCATCCCATTTAGCCACCCACGGTGTCACTGTGACTTAAAGGCACATTCTTCACTTTTCACACTCCGGTTGTGGGAAATGTCAAAAATGAAAGCTTCTCTGTGCAAAGTAGGGATGAAAAGTTCAAGTAATGAGGTCAAAGTGTGCCATTCAAATTTTAAAAACAGCTGTACATTGGTGTCAGATTTAAAATATACTTCGGTTGCAGTTGCATTACAGCTGATATTCCTGTCTGAAATGTTCCGTGTGAAGCGTCTTAATCAAAGAAACATGTTGAGTGTAAATGGAAAATGAATGTCCGTGATTATGAGATATCATGGTGCAGTAGCTGGTTAGAGACCTCAGCTCAAAAATACTGCAACAAGAGCAGATCTACATATTAGTGACAACTCATTAGAGCATCTAGCTGAGGAGCAACAAGGACAAAGACTTATTTTCTTCCCTTGTCTGAGGCGTCTGTGCCTGTGCATTCACCTTTGTGCTTAGGAGTTGGTATTTCTGAGTGTTCTTTCATGTGCTTTTGTGTGCGTTCATCTCATTTTGTTGACATCACATCTTCCGCAGTTGACACCACTGTGCTAACCAATTAAACGATGCTGGAGAGCAGCATAAAACTAACACTTCAGGCCAAGTTTGCGTAGGAGAAAATCCTTGGATTACAGCACGACCCACAATCACTCGTGGAACCATGCATGCATGAACATATACGTGAACATGCAAATACAGGCAAATCATATGCAAAAAGGGCAAAACAAACATAGGGGCTTAAATCTCACTTTACTGCGCTCTCTCTCCCTTGCTTCTTTACATTGGTGCACACACCTCAGCATTTTCAGTGCGCACTTGGGAGACTCCGCACAGTCGGCGGGTCAACCAGTCCATTGACTTTTAGTGTGGGAGTGTGTGTCTGTCCCGGTAGGATGGAAATGTTAATCTTTTTTAGTTCATGCCTCAGACCATTGGTCACAATGACATTGTCTGCTCCCCGAGTGCTTCACATCTGGTCCCTGTGGAGGGATAAAGTCAGCGCGGCTGGTCCAATTCAACATTCTGTTTGTATCTCTCTCTCTCTCTCTCTCTCTCTCTCTCACTCACTCACACACACACACACACACACACACAGACACACACACAGACACACACACAGACAGACACAGACACACACACACACACACACACACACAGACAGACAGACACACACATTCTTGCAAATCCTCTCCACACTGGGATATTCCTGTTGTGTCCTTTTCTATTATTTTTTGTAATGCGGCACAGGTCAGAATGCTATAGATAGAAAGCATGAAAAAAATTTAAGTCTTCATGTACTGGGGGGGGGCTAAGGCTCCAAAGTGTCCTTGGGCAAGATGCAGAGCCCCACATTGCTCCTGACAGCTGTGCCCGCGGTGTGTGACAGATGTGCTCCATCGCTGTGAGATCTTCAAATTGTTTCCTATTGTTTGCCCTCAATTTTTCATTTTGAACTTGTAAAACACCTTGTTACTGTTTTTAAAAGGTGAAATAAAGTTTATTATCACAATAGTTTTATTGTGTGTGAAAGAGAAAGTGATGCACCCAGATGCACTGTATAAATGTAAATGGTCTGTATTTATGAAGCGCTTCTAGTTTTCATGACAGTAGTTTTTTGCCATTCATCCATTCACACAGTGTATATATGGGCAGCACTTCTCAGGTTCAGTATCTTGCCCAAGGACACTTGTTGGAGATGGTGAGGACTGGGATGGAACTGCCGACTTTCTGGAATGACCGCTCTACCCCCTCAGCCACAGCCGCCCTAATAAACGTGTGAATAAGTGAACGGCAAAACTGCACAGTGAAGAGCTTTGAGTGGTCATCAAGACTAAAGCTCTATATAAATACAGCATTTACAAGTATACAGTGCATCAGTGTGCGTCACTTTCTCTTTCTTTAAATTAACTATTACACTATATGAATACAGACCATACATCGTGCATTGCTGAATTGTTAATAAAAAAGTGGTATATTTGGTATAGGCATTATATTTAAACAAAATAAATTAACCACATAAGATTGATTAAATACATATCCAATACTACAGCTAACAACCTTTCCTTCCATATATTCTTTAGGCTACATACATTTATGCAAGAGGTTGATTATTTAGACCCTCCGGCTCTCAACAGGTCTTTTCGCTTTAAATTTCATTCAAGTCTGTGACTCAGCCTCGTCAAGCCCCCGGCGGAACAGTCCTTTAACAAGACACTGAATGTCCTCTTGCTCCAGGGGCACCTGAGGTTCACCCAGTCACAGCAGCCCATTGAGGGGCTGCTGCAGGACGGATGATTTCCATAAAGGGATCAATACACTTTTATAAATAGTGTTGCCACTGTGACACCTATTGGCTGCGAGGTCGCTGTGGTGAGACACAGATTTGACGAGGGAGGGGAGAAAAACGCGCAGCTCATCTCCCCCTCGTCTCTTTTTCACATGCACCAGTCGAACGCGCACAAGGAGGAAACGGGTGTGCACGCGCACTCGCACGCGCACACTGCCCGGAGCGTCTCATCCCTGTTTGTCTGTCCTGCGGGATGATTAATGAGGCGCGTCCCCGGACACGTTCATGAAGCCCCGGCGATCACCGGAGGAATCAGTCACACAGAAGCCTCCGAGTTTGGCTTTGTCACCGTGTCAGCGGGACCGGAATGACACCGCACCAAGTGTGGATGATATTGAAATAAAATATAGATCTTTGTACAAGGTTATTTGAGAATAATTAAAATAACATTTTTGTGTAAAACTGTCAGGCAGCGAATAGGCTTCAAAAAATATAGGAAACACCACGAGAACGAAAAGAAGGCTTCAAAAAGCGCACTTGCAATAAACGCTCTGAATCCCTGGGAATATGTCTGTGTTTTTTTACTCCATCCTTGGTGTGATTATCATTTGAGCTCCAGAAGTTGCCTCCAAGTTTCCCAGTGTTTGCTGCAAAAAAATAAATAATAAAGTTTGGCTCAAGGCCCAGATCTGGTAATTGAGGAGGGACTCATCAAAATTCAAATTGCATACAACAACCTGCATCAGGCTGCACAAGCAATAGGCTAAAAGAAATCTGAAATCTTTAATTTGCCTCTGGGTCACTTTACTGTGAAGCTTCCATTACTAACAGCACAACCTCCTCCTGCAAACGCTGGAGGCTTCAACAAACCAAAGCCATGTATTTTGGATAGTTTTTTGTTGTGAATGTGAAAAGAAAATACAATGTTCTAACATAACGGTAATCCATGATGGAAAAGATCCCTGAAGGATCTGGAAACAGAAACAGCAGCATATCTGTGTTATGGTTGCAAACTTTTCATCTGTCAAATTGAATCGGCCCCAGGAATGAAACAGCACAAAAAAAGCAGCAGCAACCCACAACTGAAACTTCCAGACACTCAGCCCCTTCTGGAGGCATGGAAATCCCCTGGATCACCATCACTCAACGGACACAACAATCCCAACATGAGTGCACGGACCAGAGATCCAGAAGAGTCAACACATGTGGGTCTAAACTCAGAGAGGAAAGCTTGCTCCCTGCATCTCCCCCATCTCCCCTTTCCTCCCGGTGCAGCCTGGCTCTACAAGCTCCAGAGAGCACCAGCTGGCACCACGCACCGCGGGGATACCTGCAGCCCCGCCGGTGCACGCACCGCCTCATGCCCCCGTGCGCACGGCTCCGCTCCGGAGACAGGCTCGCTCCGTATCCAGTGCTTTTGAAAAAAATAAAATAAAATGAGATAAAGACAACTTACGGGTTGTTGGCAAAGCTCCGCGCGCACCGTTAACATGGCAGAAAATCCACAAAGCGACCGGCAGTAACAACGTCATTCCCTGGGCAGGACGGCGCCGGGGCATGTTCACGGGCCGGTGAGGACGCAGCAGCAGAGCGGGGTGAGGAGACGCTAAGGAGGGGGAGAAAAGAACAGCGGGGTGGTGGTGGTGGTGGTGGAGGAGGTGGAGGAGGTTGTGCCAGTGGCTCCGTCGGACTCGCTTCGCAGTTGAGGACTGGCAGAGAGGAGACAGGCTGCACACACTCCCCTCCTCTCTCTCTCTCTCTCTCTCTTTCTCTCTCTCTCCTGTATCTCTTTATGTATGTCTCTCTGACTCTCTCTCTCTCTCTCTCCAATAAATAGATGATGTAAGAATCGCGCAGACGAACGCACAGCTCTCCGCAGCTCTCTCGCCTCCTTTTTTTGGCGATTCCCAACTGAGACCAAACAACAACAACAACATGCCCCGTGTCTCCCGCCTGTGTGTCCGTGTGCGTCTGCGTGGCACAGCTCTGGCTCCTGCGCTCCAAGGAGCCACGACTCAAACCCGGTGAAGTGATTCCTGCTGCCCGGTGCTCCGGTGCGCTGTCCGCGGCGCTGAACTTGTCTCGGTCTCCCTCCCTCTCTGAACGTCTCTCCGCTTCTTGCAGCCACACACTGCCCCCCTCCTTCTCTAGGTGGTGGTAGCCTTGTTCTCGGTGCACTCTTCATCTGTCCTCATGAGGAAAAAGATCGAGGCACACACAACCTCATTCTCCACATCCACAGGTTTTTTTCTGTTCTTAAACCTGTCCGTGCTCGGTTTTGTAAGACAAACTAAATCAAAGCAAAGGTACGAATGAGTTGAGATTTTGTTAGAATACTTTAATTAAACCGTTCTTTAGAAAATATCTCAATTTAAATGAATTCTCTTTCTGCTGAGATGTAGATAAGACTTAAGGGTTTACAGATTTCCCATAATGATAAAGAAAATAAGTTCAAAGTGCTTTTGGACTATATACAGTTTTTTTTAAATTAAAAAGAAATCTAAACTATTGAGACATTTGTCAGTGGGTATAGGTGCTTTAACCCTTCTTGGATCTGTGTTTTTACAAGTTTGATTCAGGTGTTTGGGGAGCACATACACTGTTGTTTTCTGTAACTCTTTTAAAGGGTTTAAAAGAGTTGGCTCGGGCACACTTCTTAATAGTCTGACCCTGCCAGTATTTGTGGCTCGTTTCAGCTGTGTTATCTTTCAACAGTAGTTAGCTGCATGAGAGAGTTTTTAACTATGCTCACAGAACTTGTGTGATATAGCTGTCGGGCTGGTCTTGTAGTCTGCTTGTTTAGTTTGTGGATGAACTGCTTCTCAGAACGTTGGGCCAAATGTTTAGAGTAAACAAAACCAATAGACAGAGAAGCTACCAAGAATATTAAGTTCCTCTCTGAAAAAACACTGACATTAAGATTCTATATTCTTCATGGCTTAAAGATTCTGGAATGTAACTCTGCATCCATCCTCAGTTTGGACTTTGCTCATCAAGCACACACAGCAAGACGATGCATATAAATGGTGAAGTTTTTAATGTATCACTTGCTTCAGGGTTAGAAAAGGTAACAAGAGCTTCGTTCCACAACATTATCAACAGCTGATAATTTATTGCTGAGGTTTGCTAAACCTTGGTCCCAATTGCCGGCCCCGACTAAGCTAACTTAGCTTGCAAAATACCAATAAGTAGCAACTCTTTGCTTCTCCTCTGATACCCAGACGCTAAAGCAAATGAGACAACTGACGGAGGAAAAGACCTGCAGCTTGATACGACTGGTTCCTCAGGAATGTGATGTCTGAAATCATGGCAGCCTGAATCTTGTTTGGTTTTTTTGAGATTGTCATTGGTACATTGCAGTTCCAAGGTGGAAATACTGAGTCATGGTGTTGACTGTGACTCTGAATTGCACGTAGGTATGAATGGTTGTTTGTCCTCAAATAATAAGTGGTTTAGTAAATGGAAGAATGGTGTCGACTGCCTCATGTCTTGTATCATATACATGTATATAAACATAGACAGTTTGACAAGGTTAAAAACTTGATATTCACTGGAGGGGGTTAACATGTTTTTTAACCCTCCCCATTGTCTTCCTCTCCGTCATTGGGCTCAATTTATAAGTTCTCATTGTAATGATGGTGATTCATCTCTGGTGTCTGTGATGTTTCTCCTACTTGAATAATAACGAAAATGTAGGAATATCCCTCAAAAGCTGGTGAAATAATGTTTTCAGATTGACAAATTGCCCTCCATATCTGCCTGTCTGCACGCCTCAATCATTGTCAACTGTCCAGAAAGTAATGTGTCATTATCATTTTTATGAATGAAAAAAAAAGCTAGATGAGAATGTTAAATCTATAACAGACAGCTCCATCACTGGCAACGTCTAATTTATTCTTCCAAATGTGGGATGGACTGAGACAGTCACCATGCTGTTATCATGGATACTGAGCCATGGGTCAGAAACCTTTCAAAAGATTATCAGTCACTACACCACAAACAAAAACAGGGACGTGTTTCATCGGGGACCAACAGTAATTACAACTATCATTACTATCTAGATACATAATTAATTTGAAGGGAACAATATGCAGGGTCATTAAATTGTTGATTCATTATTGGTCAATCTATTTGAGTGTGTAGTTTCAAAAGAAATAGCTTAAATACACTTTTGTTCAAGTTGTTCAAACACCTTTACTTTTAAGGTAACAACATGAATAAAGCTGAGTTATTATGAGATATTATGCTTTATTAAAGAACAAGCATTAGCACAAGTTTATTCTCTTCCTTTTCCTCTTTTTTGTTTTCCATGTCTACTATTCGTCCCCCTCTCTCTCCTCTGCCTGTTGATCACTCCATCCCCCGCATCACCACTCCACCAGCTGTACGACACTTCTCCGTCCCCACGAGGACTGCAAATGGGTTTGTCAATATGTCATGCATGGTAATTTACAGCCATCATTCATCTCATAAAAATAACAGTGATGACTGATGGCCTGTAGATTCTGAACAAAAAAAGTTGATGACAGCCGTGATGAATCTCCCGAGGAAGAGTTGTTTTGTTAAGTAAAGCGCTTGTAAGAAAAGAGCAATTTTCACAGACAGCTGCTACCCCGGGCCGCCTCGCCGCTGTTATCTGCCGACTGGAAAGGACAGAGAAAATAAGGCTCGGAGGTGATGTCACGTACTGTTTGTGGGATCATTAGAAAAGATGCCACTTTAATCTCTGGCTGACAATACGAGGGGAACGTCTGCTGTGCTAAACGCTTCTCTTAGGTGGAGGGTTTTTTTTCCCCGGAGATGTGAGAACAAGTGTTGGATAAGAATCTAGGATTTCACCTCCTTTCTTTAAAGTCCTACTGCTCTGTAGAAAACAATTCCTCCTCTCCCTCATCATCACCAGCGCTTTGTTGTTGCAGCCACATTGAGGATCGTGATTGTGGCCCACTGTGGCAGCTAATCGTAGATGATGGCTTCAATTACATTGCTTAGATATACATTACGCCTAACTATTGCTGCTCCCTCATCTCTGTCAGATATGTTATTTTGTAAAAACACTTCAATCATTGATACTACTCTACCTATGTTAGACAATATTTTGATTTTGTTTATGTGCTCTGTTAAACACGACATCTAAAAGTTAAACACTTTTGTCCATCCCTCACTTGCGCCTCTCTCTGAGGTTACCATGTTATTTTTCTTCAACAAAAAGGTTTTGGTAGTTCTTCCTCACTCTTGTCGAGGGGTTGAGGGCAGAAGATGTTGCACCTTGTTTCGCCCTGTGAGGAGATTTGTGAATATGGGCTATACAAACAATACAAAAGTTTGATTGATTGATGATTGACACTGGCCCTAGACTATTTAGGTTTATATTTCAGGACTAGAAATTTACGGATACTCTTTTTTGAATGGATAGAGTAGCAATTTCACTACGATCTCTTGCAGAGAGTTGCATTATGGGCTTTTTGTTAGTTATTTTGTTTTTCGTTATGTTACTACGTGGCGAGTGTATTTGAGTGTATCAGAGTTAATCAGCCGTGAAAGTGTTTCGTTAGTCTAGTTTAACCTTTTCTGAAGGCTGGTGTAACATGCTCTGCTGCCATGGGGGAAATAAATGAATGACTAGTGAAAATTAGATGATAGCGTCTCACGTGCAGCGCGCTCACCACAAATTCATCAAGAACACCCATTATTGAGTTACTATGGCAAACTCGAGTACGGAACAGGACCAAACTACTTGTATTAAGTTGCTGGTGCAAACTTAATCGATTTAGACGTTTCAAGGGAAGAGCGGTTTCTTGTGTGTGACATGAACCTCTTATTTCTGAAGAGCAAATGCTTTGTCTATGTGACCGTCACTGGCACAATTAAGAACATGAACTCTTAGCTGCATACGCCAAATCCTGCTGTGTTTAAATCACAGGGAAACGACACACAGTCACAGACAGTTTAATTATGAAAACATAACTCTCCTACAGGAAAAAAGAAGCTCCTCTTTAGGTCATAGAAAGCTCCCACATAAAGATTTAAACAGCTATATATATATATTTCTTTCAAATACTGGTTCAAGTTTATAACAGTTTGCATCATGCTGACAAATAATAGCACCACATGATATGTAGTGCAGTTGTCATATGGGATGATTACTTCAAGGTCTCATAATGTTAATTCGGTCCCACATGGTGTCTCACCATAATTCTTGATATAAATGACTGCTACTCCTATAGAGGATTGAATGCATTGAATATACATAGGTGGAGAAACATAAAAAAGTGTAATTATTTTCCCTTTTATCTAATAAACTAAAACTGGATCTTATACCTACCCGCACTACACCCAACATGCAGCCTGATGCAGTGGTGCAACGATTCAATTCCACGGTTTTAAGAAGAGCAAAAGTTTTCACATCCTCGCTGTGAAATTTCTTATTTTTTGGTTTTCCTGACCGGGCTCCCTGCTGGCTAACCGTGCCTTTACCAAATTAGATGAGCTCAGCCAGTCAGCAGGATGTAGAGCTGCTGTCTTGATGAACTCGTCTGTGCTCGATGCTGCTGATTGGATGTCTGCACATTTCTAGAGCAGAAGTAGTGAATGGAGATGCTGCTTTGTTCCTTGACTTGGAGATGTAGTTATTATT